TCGTAACCTTGTTCTTTGAAACTTAACCTTAATGTGTGCAAAATTTGGATTTATAATAACCAGTTTTAAGGGCTGTACATCTAATTCAATTTTCATAGTCTTTGAAATTTGCCTTTGTTTCACCAAAAATCTTCAATTTTATTTAGTACCATATATAGTATATTGCACACCCAAATAGTACATGTATATTGTGTGTGAATAAAATACTGTAAATATGAATGCTTGTTTAAATATACATATTTATCAAACCAATAAATAAATAATTTTATTATATGCAAAACAAGTATAAATAAATCCTCCCAATAAAGTCTAATACAATATAATCATATTTTGCTCATTAAATCCCATCTCAAGTAGATCTTCTTCAACAGAAACTAACATACCATATGGACCACTAACAATAATTCTTCCTTGTATCAAAGTGTCACTTTTTTCCGACTTTGCTAAATCTGTATCAATACTAAGCGCTGATTTTTTTGATGGTTTCGGTTCTAGGTAAGGTTCCATAACATTTGTACGATCTTCATCTTTTTGGTCATCAGATTGTGTGAGAGGTGTTTTTGATTCTCTGGAAGGGGAGTGTACGCTTGTAGACTCGTGTGGCAACAGTGAAGTTTGTGAAATTTCGTGTGACTTCATGAATGGTGGTTGTAACTTTAACGTTGGTGAATGACTCCAACTATCATCACTTGCGTCACGACGTATTGAATGACTATGAAGAATATTCTTCTGAGTTTCGCTAGGAGACTGGAGGAACACACCCTGCATCATATTCATCCAATCTTGTATTATTTGTTTATTAATTCTTCCTTGCAAACCTTCCCAATCTGAAGGAGGCTCTGAGAGACAATATGTTATAGTTAGTTGTCCTCCACTTGAAAGCGCAAGATCTTCAAGGAACATTCCATCGATAACATCTTCAATTTTACGGTTCCCAAATAATAAATGCATTCGTTTGTCTTTATTGTTATCGTTTTCTCGTTTCATCGAGCATTCCAAATGATACTTGATTAGCTGATATAATCGACGTGAGAAATTATTATCAAATTACTATGAATGCTTGATAAAATATGAATATTAAATTACCTGTAACATTGGTGTTACTCCGGTGCCACCTAAGAAAGTGAAAAAAGGTTATAATAAACATTTTTATAATAAACGTCAATGTATAACATTTATTTAATCAGTACCTGCAATCATATATAATTCATCCCAACAACCATCCGGGCTATCTGGATTTAATAAAGAAGTTTTTACCGTAGATGACGTTCCAGTAAGTTTAGTGTAAGGAGTGCGAGGCTTTGCGGATGGTAAAATGCTCAGACGAGGATTTAACGGCTTATCACAAACATCAAATGGACCACGTGCTTGAATTTCATACC